TGGGACCCCCTTGATGGTATTATAATCCCCATAGTAGAGTGTTGCCATGGTTGAGAGGATAGATGTGGCAGAGCATGGGAGCATAGGTACATGCAGAGACATGTATGGGAAATGTATCAGTGGAGGTATACATGTATGTGGTGCTTGTAGGCACAGATGGGTATGAGGGTCTACCCTCTTGTGGTGTCTTTTCATCTATGTATTAGATAGCTTGCCACCTTCCGTGGACAAGAACAACACACTTCTCCTCACCTCCGATCCTACCACGAACTGTGCACGTCCACCACCTCCATCACCCCTGGAGCGGGTTGGCTCCTTTGCCGTAATCAGGTTAAAACGAAACGGAATCCTGGGGGTAAAAAAAGGTTAACTATGAGGGAAGATAGAGATTGGACGTATTAATGGCGGATCATTGTTTTTCCCTTTGTTGTTTCCAAATTTTATGGCCTGTTAGGTTAGAAATGAGGGAAAAGAGCTGTATGCTTCAACATCCATTGAGCCATAGGATTTAGTATCTCCCAGACTTATTCCAACATTAAGAAACCAATGTTGAAGGAGTTTTCTTAAATGTCGGTAAATTAATCTGGTTAACTTCGGCATTTTTTCCTCTAAGGAGATATCGTCTTATTACTCTCGAAGGTGTCACCTTTATCTTCCTTTCCAGCCCTAGGGGGATGCGCCCGTACTGAAATCTACTTTAACACAATATGCCTGCCTACTTCCCAACCCTAATACGTTACTGCGCATTCGCCGTCCCTTATAAAAAAACGGAATATGTTTCTATTAACGTGCATCCCCTCATGGGAGGGTTCCGGCCTAACCAAAAGCCGGCGCGCGAGGGGGGGGGGGCTGAAAACTGAATAACCATAACAACCCTGGTTAAGCCCCGGGGTGCCCCATGAAGTGCATATCAAGCCGACATATGATACTACAAAATTTCCCGAACCCAGAATTCTAGAACCTTTCTTAGTCAGGGGTGTCGGAAATTGACCGAAAGGTCAGTCAACACGTATCTCTGGAACCCTTCCCTCGCGCACACCTGCGAAATAACAGGGGAGAGAAATATCTAGGAAAACTTCCTCCTAAATCATGAGCAAAAGAATCCACCTCTAGGATTCCTAGAAACCCCACAATCAACAACTACACACTACTGGTAAGTTACCTTTTGTTAACAACTCCAACTAGAATGCGGTATCCGAGACAAAAACTATTCTCTGTATCTACAGTAGGTAACCCTTCATATGGGCGTGTTTCTCCTCTAACCCTCTAAATAACTCATTGATTCTAACCTGTGATTATTGATAGCATGATCCCAACAGCGAGATATGGGGGAGCAAGTGCAGTGAGGTAGAGAGATGTATGGAGATGCATGTAGGTGGCGGAGAGGGCAGAGAGTGTGAGCCCTTATTTGGTGATAATTATGATGTTTTTGTTTGTTTGTTTGTTTTTAGGACGAACAGCCCTCTGTGGGAATGGCTGTCATCCTTGCACTTTGTATTTAGTCTTCTTTCGGTGCTTCGGGGAGAAGACACGAACGACTCCTCTCACTTCACCTTCGGTTCCATCCACATCGTGATTTCTCACCCCCCCTGCGCATAGCCTCTCCATCAATTATAAATTAACATAAAGGTGTGTTTCGGTAACTATGGGTTCTAACCCCGTGTGGTAAATTTTACATGCACGGAGGGCTTCTATTCATGCACTATCACTCGATCTGTGCGATAGGAACTATAGGGCCCTAAAACTTATTCACTCTAATCTGTGGCAGCCGCCCCGTTCCGTGAAATCTTAACTCCAGCCCAACTCCCACCTGGTTGTGGGATAAGTACCAAGAGGGCGTGCAGCGCTGGCACCTGCCTGGCCCGATGTCTCGACAGTCCTGACCATGACTATTGTTGGTGACCGGTGGTCAGTGGGAGGGGGTGATGAAGGGTTATGGGCTGTTTGGCTTTTTCGGGCAAATAGACAAAATGTCGACCGCTTTTTGCGATGAAATTCAAATCATGCCTAATCTCAGCTTCTGAGGTTCAATTTCCAGTCTTCAAGTTTGGTGTTTTCCTTCACTCTTTCCTTCACCACCCGATGCCGGGGATGCTGAACCTCCCTCGAGTTGTCTTTTTAGGCCCTACCACCGATGTTACAGTGCCGCCATAGTCCTTGCGGCGATGGGCCATGTGGTAATAGCGGCATTGGTCGTCAAATTTTGGGAGTGACCACTGGTCATCGTCAACGCTCGGGGTATGAGGTGCCCCCCCCCCCCTACCATACCTCTGTATTTCTTGTGCTCGCCGTTGGTGTTATCTGTTTTTTTTCTTTTCCGCCAAGACTAGGGGTTACTTGAGGTTTGGTAGTGCTGAGGATCCAAAGTGGCTCTTCTAACAAGCATGGTGACAAAATAAAGTCGAAGATTAGTTCGGTTTTCTGATTGTGTGGGTATTGGGCAGATATAATGCTTTTACTAAAACGCTGGGACTCCTAAGTAAACAGGATTGGTTTTTGGTGTCTAATGGTGATCAAACAAGTGGTACACACTCGGAAACATTGGGAGATATCTAGAACTAACAAACTCGGTTACTTTATTAACTGTTGAAGAAGGGGGTTTTCTGAAGCCATACCTCTCATCTAATATGTTGCTCACCCAATCAAAAACCAAAGTCCATAGGAATCAAGGAGAGCAGGTGTTGAGAAGCTCTCTTGAGAGTTTCCCTCAATCATTTGATTATTTCCTTCTTTTGGCATATGTCTCTATGTATGTATGACGGTTTTAGTTTTTGGAGGAGCCAATTTTAGACATAGAAAACTTTCCCGCCTCGGTTGGCTTCCTGTCTCGGCGAAAACCCAGGTGGGGCCAGATAATAGGGTAGGCAATCACGCCCTGATCTTGAGATTCGATAAATAGGGGGGATGGGTGTCACTTGTGGCGCTCGGATAGGGGCAACTGGCGTTGTGGAGCGAACGGTGACTCTCCTGTATCCTGCATTACAAAGGCACAGTATAGGCGATTATTTGGCGAACTACCGTATGCTTGCTTTGGACCTGAATGAAACATTACTTTGTAGAGGGTTTACAGTCTTACAACTAAAGTGAGAGCGGAATGATGGTCTAGGAGTCTGGGCTCAAGGACTTCAAAAAGTCAGGACTAGTAAATTATGTGACCTGGCTAACTAACGGGTCCTTTGGAATCTGTTGGATTGCAATTTTACTGTGGGACCTACAGCCCGGGCCAGAATTGCGGTTTGCTGCGTGTAGTATCCTACCGGCACTACGGTAGTTAATTTCTGATATCAGTGTGTTTGGGCAAACTTACCTTTGTCAGTCCCTAGGGCGATAGCACTGTACTGTACTGTCCCCGTCATTGAATGAGAGTTGTGAAATCGGCTACTCCCGGTAAGTTATTGCATGACACTAGGGTTAAATAAAAACGGGAGATTTTGGGGGTATGCGGTAGCAACCGTGTTTCCAACACCCTTCAGTTGCAAGAACTGGTGTTGTAGAGACAGTAGAGTACAGTACTCGAATACCGTATTAACTTGAATAAGAGCAACACATCTCGGGACGTCTGACTTGCCTATTTTGGTAGGGACGGGAGAAAATACCAGCAAAATAAAACCACGCGTTACCAAGAGGGGAAACCTAGACGTCCCGAGCGGTGTTGCTCTTATTCAAGTTCATACGGTACTGTACTCGAGTACCAGTACTACTGTACTACCGCCGTCTACCGGTAGTGCAGATCGGGCGGGTGCTCTGCTCGCTTACCGAGCACTGCACTCGAGTACCGGTACTGTACCCATATCGTACTCGCATATGGGAGTACTGTACTGTCAGTATTGACTCCAACACTAGGGGATGCGCTGAGATGGGAGGCCTTAATGCCAAGCATGAAGTTAGAGCGCTGGTAATACCACCGTACCAGTACCGTCCGTGGTTAAGCGGACCAAGGACTGAAGGGGCTAAATTGTTCCCCCCCTATCTTGTTCCTGATAACCGCCCGTTCTCGAGTCTCTCCACCTATTGAACAAC